TGGCCAATGGACGGCGGAGGGCGGCACGCAGCAGGGGTGCGCTTCCTGCTGAACTCACAGCTATTGAAGGAGCCATGGATGCAAGGGCCTGCGAAATCGCCGATAATTGTATTAATTATGGACGTGCATTTTTGGACCGTGAACCGGAAGGTATGGACCTGGCGGATGTTCCACTTGACAATGATGGTCGTTTTGCCGCCATGGAAGCAGAGCGTCGGAAGCGGACAAAGGATCCCCGCTCCTCTAGACGCAACAAGGACATGATACGTGACCTCGAGGATGACATGATTGCCCGCTCGCATGCTCTTGCTCTCGAGGAATTTGCCAAGATGCGTGGATTCATGGATCAAGAGCCGGAGGGAGTTCCACTGAAGGAGATCCCACTTGACGTGGATCCCGAGTTCCGTCAAGCGGAGGTGGCTCGCTACCGGATGCGCAAGGACCCGCATCACTCACCAGAGGAGGTGGCCAAGTTGGAAGATGCGATGAACGACCGCGCGCGCAGGCTAGCCAAGGCCATTCTTGCGAAGAACCGTGGCTTCCTTGACCCTGAGCCGTGTGGCGTGCCCCTGGCGGAGTTGCCGCTTAACACGGATGAGGAGTTCAACAAGCTTGCGGCGGAGCGCTACCGGCTGAAGCGAAGCAACAAAAAGGACAATAATCCCGAAGTGAAGGGGATTGAGAATGAAATGAATGATCGTGTGCATGCACTTGCAAGAGAGCACCTTCGAAAGGCACGGGCCTTCTTGAATCCCGAGCCCGAAGGTGTGCCACTGGAAGATGTACCACTTGGCCGTGATCCCAAGTTTCTTGACATGGAGCGTGGCCTCGCAAGGATGCGCAATGATCCGAATGCCTCCGCCGAAACGTTGAGTTCCCTCGAAGAAGATTTGAACGTGCGTGCGCATGAGGTTGCAAGGGAGTTTCTCAAAAAGGAAAGGGCCTATCTCGACCCCGAGCCCCTCGGCGTCCTCGTGGAAGATCTTCCTCTCAATCACGACCCCATTCTTAACGCCTTGGAGCGCAAGCGCCGTGAGCTCAAAAAGGACCCTAAACGAAATGGGGATTTTATTCGTGGATGTGAAGACGATATACATGACCGTGTGAGGGCGATTGCGAAGGAGTTTCTGGACAACGAGCGTCGGTTCCTTGATCCAGAGCCCGAGGGCCTGCCGTTTTCCGAATTGCCTGTGGATACCGATAGGCAGTTCCGTGACTTGGAAAACGAGCGACGAGCACTTCTAAAGCAACCTGCACTAAATAAAGCGGCGATTGAAGGGTTGGAGGAACGGATGAAGACGCGTGTGAATGAACTTGCGAAGGATACTTTACGAAAGTGTCGTGCTTTCCTCGATCCTGAACCCCTTGGTGTACCGCTTGACGATTTGCCGCTGAATACCGATGAGAAATTTCGTGAAATGGAATTTTGTCATCGTGAAATGAAGAAAAAACCATTTGTGAATGCAGTTTCTCTCGAAAAGCTTGAAGATGAGATGAAACAGCGGGCCAGAGAGTCGGCAGAAGAACTTCTTAAGAAGGAACGTGCTTTTATTGACCAGGAGCCAGAGGGGTGCCTGTTGTCTGAATTGCCACTTAACAAAGACAAGCACTTTCGTGAGATGGAGAAGAAGTTGCGCGAACTAAAAAAGAACCCAAGAAAAAACCTGGAGGAAATTAGGAATCTTGAGTACGATATGAACGATCGCGTACATGAGTTGGCCCGTCGTCAGCTATCTGATGATAAAAGCTATCTGCCAGTTGAGATTTACGGAGTTCCTGTCTTTGATCTTCCATTAAATAATGATCCAGAGTTTCATGAGTTGGAACGGCAACGTCACAACCTTAAGAAAGATCCTAAGAAGAACGCAGGGGCTATTCGAGAAACTGAGGATGCACTAAACGAGCGGGCCCTTACGATCGCCGAGGAGTTTGTGCGAAAAGAACGTGCGTATCTTGATCCAGAACCGGAGGGCGTACTGCTGGATCGCGTTCCGCTTAACGCAGACAGAAAGTTTCGCGAGATGGAACAAGATCGACGAAGACTAATGAAGGACCCAAACAAAAAGCTGGAAGTAAAAAACCTCGAAGAGAGACTTAATAAACGTGCCCACGAACTTGCCAGGGATTTGCTCGGCTGGCAAGACGAGGAATTCCATGAATCGAATAAGCATATGGCGGAGGAGTGGCCACGTATCTGTGAGCTTTACCCAGAGGGTGTCCGTGATCCGGTGGTGCCGGAGAAGTTATCATCCGGAGATATCTCCTCGGCCCCCAGAAACGCCAGTTTCTTGGCGCCTTTTATTGCCGCCATGAGTAGGCATCCTCCACTTATTGACCGTCTTTTCGATTCAAAAGAGCATCCTGTGAACGGCCCATATTCGTTTATTTTTTATGATCCTAACAGCAACCCGGTGCGCGTCGAAATTGACGACCGTGTTCCAGTGGACACAAACATGGAACCGAAGTTTACACGAGTCCCGAAACGGTCATGGTATCCGCTATTGCTGGAGAAGGCCTACGCGAAGTTTGTTGGTGGGTACTCCCGGCTTGATCAGTGCACACCGCATGAAACGTTGCGGGATTTGACGGGTCGCCCGGTGCTTCACATCCCTCTTGACGATAAACTGGCGGAGGCTGCCAACACGGGCGATTTTAGGTCGGTGAAATTCTGGGGTGGCGTTGCGAAGGATCTGGAGCGCGGTGATCTCATTACGTGCATGTCTAACGTGGATGCTGGGGACGGCATCCATCCGCTGTGCAGTTATGCCCTCTTCGCGGTTATTGAAACCGTGAAGGAGTCAAATGATCCCGCAGACATTGTGATAAAGCTGCACAACTGCTACTTTGATGAGCCTTTTTATAGTGGACCTCTCAACCGGAACGACGGAAGCTGGAAAAAAGAATTGAGGGACGTTTGCGGCTCTGATCCCTCAGAAGAGGAGTTTTTGTACCTGCCACAGCCTGTGTTTTTAAATAATTTCTCAAGCATGCAGCGATGCCACATTAACTGCGGCGACCGCTTGAGTTCTTCAGGTGAATGGAATGAGTGTACGTCAGGAGGCAATCCAAAGTTTACGACCTTCCGAAACAATCCGATTTATTTGGTGGAGAACAAATCCTCTCGTCCAGTGAGAATTCTGGCTGAATTACGTCACCAAACGCCGTCCTTTTCAGATAGTGATGGCTTGAACCACTACCACCAGACGGGATTGGTGTTGATGCAATCTGTACATGCCAAGATGGCACCGACTCCGCTCATCACAAGTAGCACACACCGGTTTATTCAAAAGGGTATGATGCTGGACGCGAGGGAGGTATGCTCGCAAATGGACCTTCCACCCAGTACGACATGTTATCTTATCCCGTACACCATGAAGCGTGGCTGTCACGGTAAGTTCAATATTTCTGTTTATCCCGGGATGGCAAAGGTGACGTTGACACCGTTGCGATACGCCGGCCTCAAGCGCGAACCATTGATGACAAACGTGGTGATTCCCTGTGGAAATGATGAGGGTACACGTGTTGACTTCTTGTTGAATGATCCGTGTGATGTTCATGTACTGCTTCGCCAAATTCAAATAAGCGATCCAGTGTCCGTGAAAAATGGCGATATTGTTGCGGAAGAGGAGGTTATGCTTCAGGTTTACAACGAATATGGTATTAATTTGGCGACCACAGCAAATCCGAGCAGTGCCCGTGAACAGGCGCTTATTTTTCGTGCGCCACAGCTTGGACGCTATTCGCTCAGAATGGTTTGCTCAAGCAAGTCTAAATCTGATACGTGTCCTTGTCTTCTTCTTATTTGGGTGGCGAAGGAAATTGAGATTGATTTTATTCCTGTCCCACCTGATTCGAAACCGCTTGGGCTGCAGGCACGCTTTCCAATGATTCCAAGGAGTGCTCCCAACGCTTTTCGCACGGGCAGTCGCGAGCGTGCCTATAGCCGGGACCGTTCAGTGCGTCGCAGCGACTCCTTGCCGCCCATCCAGGGTGCAGTCCGCGGAGGGCGTGGCAGCCAGGCGAGTTTCATACCGCCGCGACGCCCAACTGGGGTCTAAGTTTTTAATAGGGAGGATGTCTCATATTTTCTCCCCTCATTGTTATAGTTTTACTTATAGAAGTGTGCATATAAAAAATTTAAAAATGGCTATGCTAAAAAAAATGAAAAAGAAAAGAAAAGTTATTATTATTATTTTTTTTTTACTTTTCATTTTTTATTTTGGCTCCGGTCAGGCCTTTCATGTTGCCTTTGAGGGCGAGAGTGTGGGCAGAATAATACAACCATATGCTTTTATAAGGAATTGCCTGTTTTTTTTTTTTTTTTTTTATTTGGGGGGAGGGGGGGTTATTTGGGACGTTTTTTTGTTGCTGTTGTCATTGTTTTTTTTTTTTTGAGAGGAGTGGTGAGTAGGAAAATATGATGAACAAACCGCCCACCTTTCTTTTCTTTTCTTTTTTATTTATTTATTTATTTAATTTTTTTGTCTGTGGGGAGGGAAAAGGGATTTTGATTTGCGTTTATTATTGAAGAAATTCTTTACTATGTATGTATATATGCATGTATTTAAAAGTATATGTGAAATAAAAATATATTATACGGAAATTGACAGATGCAAAAACTACAGACACCAGAATGGGCGGATATATTTATGTGCGGATATGTTGATGTATGTACGTACACATAAGGGTTTGGGGATTTCCTGTGTATACAGTACAGCTACGTTCCATATTCTGCGTATTCTCATATGGTCGTTCCTTATTTATTTATTTATTATTATTGTTATTTTGTGTGTATGGGTACGTGTGCAATGAGAGGCTTTTTCTTTTACATTTACCCCCCCTTTTTTTTTTTTTTCTTGTTGTTGTTGTTGTTTTGTTTATGTGAATAGTGAATTGTTTTGTGCAATCGTTTATCATGGATGCCATTTTTTTCTCTTTGATTTGTGTATATGTGCCTGCAGACCACTTACAATTATGTAATGGAATGAAAAAAAGAAAAAGAAAAGAAATAATAAAAAAGAAAAGAAAAGAGTGAGGAGTTTGACAGGAGAGAAAACATCATTTTTTTTATTTTTTTTTTATTTTTTTTTTATTTTTTTTATTTTATTTTTTTTTTATTTTTTTTTTTTGGTTAACGCAAATATTTTTTTGTTTGTTTGTTTGCTTCTGAGGCAGAGAAGGAAAGGGACAGATTTGGGTGGTGCGGATAATGCTCCGGGTGAAGGAGGAAGAATGAAATGCCTGGACGAGATGGGGACGCGCAATGCCTACAACAAGAAGATTAAAAAAAAAAAAAAAAGATGCACAAGTGCATTTTCCTCTTGGCGCTCACGCAATAACGTATGAGAGCTGCGTATCTGCACTACACTCAGCACATGGGTGAAGATTTGGGGAAACTTCATCCTTGTCTTTCGTGTGTATGCGTGTTTACAAATGCCCATGCGGCTATATATATATGGAGAGAGAGAGAGAGAGAGGGAGGGGAGAAGAAATCAGGCGGGTTTGGGAAAGGGAATTGTGCTTTTTGCTCAGTGACATGGCAGAGGGGAAGGCGGTTGAACATTTTTTGTTGATTTTACTCTTTGTTGCGATAAGATGTCTTGCGGTCATATATGCACTGGGGTGGCGGGGGAGACAAGATGCCTTGCTAGGGGACAGGCGCCTGTTGTTTCTTCCACCGTCGCCAAGTTCCACAGGATGTGGAGTACTGTTTTCACTCTGCCAGCGTTCATCGTCGCTGTCGGCGCTCCGTTTTTCTCGAGCGCCCACGTCCCACCAGTTTTTTTTTTTGTTGTTGTTGTTGTTCTTGTTTTATGCTTTCTTCCTTGTGTGTCTGTGCGCGTGCTCTTCATGTGTTGCGTTGGCAGTTCAGTGTGCTTCACGGCCCACTCGACACCCAACTGGGCCCATAGACCCGCATTCAGTCACGTCAACAGGCTCTCATTTTTAACTTCTTTGCTTTGCGGTTTCATTCACTTCGGAGGAAACAACAACAACAAAAAAAAAAAAAATTAGAGTTTCCGCCTTCTTCCCGCTCCCTACGAGGGACATTTACGACTGCTCCTCCCTCGCCCTTTGAGCGTTCGTGGGTGGGACGGGGAGTTCATATTTATTTTATTTTATTTTTTGGCCCATTCTCATTGTTTTATGCTTGATGCACACAGTCACGTGCATCACCACGCGGTCTACACTCTTCAGTGGCTTGTAAGAGCTGGCGAGTTACGCGGAAGACGTCATTAATGCCGACTGCCACCTTGCCGTTCCTCTTCTTATTATTATTATTGCTTTTTTAATGGTCCTTGTGAGTAGAGGTAGGAGTCTCCAAAGAGCGCGAACGCACGCAGACTCAGAAGTTGAAAAAAAAAAAGGAAATAAATTGCACATTACGCTTATTCTTCAAGGAGATTGCTGTCTGCTTTAGGAACATAATTTGCCGTGTTTCTAAAGTTACGTGCCAGTTCTTTTTAATCCAACAAGCGATAGGGGCAACTCTCTTATTAAACATATTGGTACACAATGGCGGTAGCAGTTACTGCTGAAGCTCCAGACAGCGACAAGGTGTTCCATGACACCGTCTTCATGGAAAAAAACAAGCATATCTCCGACCAGTGGGTTCGCATTGCCGAACTGTACCCAGACGGCATCAGCCAGCCTCTCCTTCCAGCGGAATTTTCCCGTGAGCAGTTCGGACAGGGCAATCACTACGAATGCTTCATGCTCACAGCCCTGTCCACTCTGGTGCGTTTCCCCAGCGTAATCCAGAACTGCTTCGTCTCCAAGCACGTTCGACGTGACGGGCGTTACACGTTCCAGTTTTTTCGTGGCAGGGAGTGGGTGAAGGTGGAGATTGACGACCAAATCCCACTGGAGGGGGACGGGGAGCTTTACATTCGCTCGCCCACGGGGTACTGGTGGCCCCTGCTCCTTGAAAAGGCCTATGCAAAGTTTTATACCGGCTACGAGAATCTTGAGGGCTGCACACTGCAGGAGACGTACCACGACCTGACTGGCAATCCCGTGCTCAACATCCCCATTGACGCGAAGCTTGCCAAGGCCGCTGGAGCGGACGTAACGGAGGGCCACTACTGGCTGGATTTGGCGCTGAAGATTCAATCCGGACAGTTCGTGGCCTCTGTATTAACCAAGGACATGGAGACTGAGAGTATGGGTATTCAGCGCGAGCAGCAGTATGGTGTGCTCGAGATCTTTTCGATGACAGGCACATCGTCTGTGAACGACATTGTTATCCATTTGCACAATCCCTTCGAGGATGAGGAGTTCATCTACACAGGTCCCCTGAACAGCAAGGATTCACAGTGGACGCCCAAGTTACGCGCCAAATACGGTGTGGACGATGAACGCTCCCTCTTTCTTCCACTCAGCACATTTATGAAGATTATTAATTCCATGCAACTGTGCTATGTTTCCACGATAGATGGCGATGCCACATACTTTGATGACGAATGGAAAGGTGAGACCGCAGGCGGTAACCCCACATGTGTTACATGGCGCAAAAATCCCCTATATAGTGTCAGAAACACTGGAAAAAAATCGCTGCGGCTCGTGGTGATGATCAAACAAGAGGATCAACGACGGTTTATTACTAGTGTTGGTAAGTTGAAATACCTTCATTGCGATGCAATCGTTGTTCAAAATACAAGTGCCAATGCAATACCCACCCATATCGTCACTGGCAACAACCACAAGCCCATTTGCAAGAGCTTGTTTCTGAATTCTCGTGAGGTGGCGAATGCCATTACGGTTCCCCCTAATTCTCTATGTTATCTTGTGCCCTCATGCATGTCAAAGGGATCTGAATCAAAATTCACCATTGCCCTGTATCGCATGGTTGGGGAAGAGTACAGCAGTCTCACGATCAAAAAGCTTAGCGTTCCCGAGATGGATTGGGACCATCCTACTGAGGGGCACGTGGAGTTGGAGCAAAAGGAAAAGGATCGTGTGGACTTCTATGTTGACCAAGAAACCGACGTCCACATACTGATGCATCAGGAAAAGCCGTATTCCAGTGCGACTGGCGGCGATGCCATGGCCCAGGACTATATGGGCATGTACCTGTACGACGACGCGGACCGCAAAATTGGTGGTGTGCACGCTGCAACAAACTTCAGGGAAACAGGCATCGTCTATCACCTTCCCCGAAGCGGCCGCTACGCTCTCTCCGTCACATGTCCACGTGCGAAGGGAAAGGTGCCCGCGCTCATCACGATTGTCGCCTCCTATTCAGCCAACAGTCGTCTCGTCGAAGCCCCAGAGGATGCAGGCATGTTTGAAGATGAGGACGATGACATCGACGAGGGAGAGGAGTCTGCGGCACGGAATAACCCCATCGACTACATGCCCATCAATATGCCTCCGTCAAAGATTACGGAGCTTCCTGACAGCACAACGCCGTTTGAGGACAAGCGGTTTATGGTCGACAACAAGATTATCACGAATGATCCATGGATCCACATTGGTGACTTGTATCCGGAGGGCAAGACACTGCCGCTTCTTCCCGATAAACTTAGCCGTGACCAGTTTGAGCAGGGCGAGCACTTCGAGTGCTGCTGCCTGACGGCCTTCGCGACACTTGTGGATCACCACCCCGATGTACTCCGCAACGTGTTTGTGACAAAGGAGGTGCGAAAGGATGGTCGCTACACCTTCCAGTTTCACAGGTATGGCCAGTGGGTGAAGGTCGAAATCGACGACCGTATTCCGCTGACGAAGCAGCAGGCCTTGTTCTGCCGCTCCCCCACACGGCACTGGTGGCCTCTGCTGTTGGAGAAGGCGTGCGCCAAGTTCTACACATTGTACCAGAACCTCGAGGGGTGCACACTGCAGGAGCTGTACTACGACTTTACTGGTTGTCCCGTGATGAACATTCCGACCGACCTGAAACTCGCGAAGTCTGCCATGTATTCAGTTGACGACCCGGAGTTTTGGCTTGACCTTAATGAAGATTTGAAGAACTGCGCCTATGGAGCTACTGCACGTTCAGGGATCGGAAGCAATTTGGGAATTCAAGAAGACCAGACGTATGGTATTCTTTCTGTCATCTCCACAAGAAATTCGGTTAGCCCCGAGCTTTCGGACTTGTTGGTTATGATTTACAATCCGTTTGTTGAGGCCGTCTACACGGGTCCTATGAACAATGAGGATATACGTTGGACCCCGGAATTGCGTTCCATGCACTCTCCTGAGCAACGGGATACAATCTACATGCCCGTTGGTATGTTTCTTGAGACTTTTTCCAGCATAGAGAAAGTTCTGATTCGTGGTGTGGCGTTACCTGGCTGGCATTTCAACAGCGAGTGGGGTGAGGGCACGAATGGCGGCAACCCTACTCTTGTGACATGGCGCGAGAATCCACTTTATGTGGTGCGAAACAATTCTGAGGAGCCATTGCAGATCATGGCCATGATTGGTCAGCCGGACCAACGACACAAGCTTCACCTATTGCCACAACAGGAGTTAGATTATATTCAATGCGGTCTGGTGCTCTCGCAGTGCACATCCAGCAGCCACCTGGCGACCTATTTGGTGACCGGCAACAACCACCGAATTGTGCACAAGGGTCTTTTTATTGACTCCCGCGAATCGGCAAACCTTGTTACGGTGCCTCCCAATTCTCTCTGCTATCTTGTTCCGAGTGCCATGTTTCGCGAAAAGAGCAAATTTTTGCTTTCGTACTGGTACCAGAAGCCGGCTGATGAGAAGCAAATGAAGCTTGTGCGACTGAACGTTGACGTTGCGCGTCACCTTCCTGCCATTGAGCATCTCGAGTTGAGGAGCAGGGAGAAGGACCGTGTGGACTTTCTTGTTGATGTTCCCACCGACATCCACATTCTTCTGCAGCAGGAGAAGCCGTTTAGATCGTCCAATGGCGGTGACGCGATGGCCGAGGATTTCATTGGCATCTATCTTTACGACGGCGAGGACAAGCGCATTCAAGGCGTTACATCAGCGACAAACTACCGCGAGATGGGCATTGTGCATCATCTCCCTGCCTCTGGCCGGTACGCTCTCTGCGCCACGTGTCCGCGTGGCAATGGCGTTGTGCCGTGCAAGGTGGAGGTTGTCGGTGTGGAGTCGGCA